TATATATATATATATATACAAAATTTGAGCTAAAGTTACTAATTTCTATCAAATCTTATATTGTAACACTCTCCCTACCCCTCCCTTAAGGCTTGAGATAAGAAGAAATATTCAAATAAGACAATATATCAATGACTCAAAGTCCTAGATATTGAAAAAGACTTGTATTTCTATGACATATGCACAAGCCTAGGCTTTTCTTTTTATGTACAATGTGTGTTTAGTCAGAATTCTACACAATTTTTTCCCCTACTATATTAGTTAGGTATATTGATTTACAAGTTTCACAAACTAAGTTGGTTAGGTTCAACCGTTTAAAAAAAATGATTTTTAATTAGAAGGAGGGGAAGAGGAACTCATTAAAATGATAGATAAACTCAAACATGTTGGAATCAAGATTATTTATGTAAGGGAAAAAGTGAAATATTCATCAATAATGAGAAAATGAAAAATGTAACGGAAATATTATTTTTTTCTGAAAAGTTTAACCCAAACAATAATCTTCCAAGTTAATAGGCCACGTCGATCAAGAATCAAATTGGAGTAATAGTTTTGGCATAATAACATTTTAAAGGGCAGTCGGCCGGTGCGTTCACGTAAAGTCCAGGGAAAGATTACATCCTAAGGGTTGTGATATAGACAATTTATTAGTGGCGGCTTTCACATCCCGAACTCGTGACTTATAGGTCAAATTGAGATAATTTTATAGTTGTTGCATGATTCCCTATTAATAATAATATTTTATGGAATAAAATTTCAAATTCCTCCGGAATATGAAAGTAGAATAGGAAAATTCTTTTTGTTAGTTGCACTAGATGAATGGTTTTAAAATATCGTGCACCACAGTCTAGAGTATTAAATTAATATTATAAAGTGGAGAATATAGGAATAATAATTTACCATAATCTTTTATTAGGTGTGGATATCTTAGAAATGAAAGGTGATGAGAATATGGGTTAAATAAAAGCATATATTCTGCATATTGTATCAGATAAAATCATTCTTAAACCTACTTATTCCGTCCAAAATTAAATATTCATATTAAATTTTGGCACGAGTAAATGAATGAATATCGTAGATGTAGAATATTAATAAATGTAAAATACATGATGTGCTTCATTATTGTTTTAGAACTTTTTAAAAATACAATGGACAAAAAGTTTCATGCACAAAATGCCCAAAGAAAAAAAAAAGGAGCTCCAATTGCTTTTAGAAATTACAGAAGATATGTCAACGACATTCTATCTTTATCAAAAGAGATACTCCTATACTTCAATAAAATAAAAGTAAATTCATTTGAAACATTGAATGGGTTTATATTTTATTTTTAGCAATAATTAGAAAGAAGAAGAATTTTAATAGGAAAATCAGTCCAAAAATAATAACAAAAAAGCCAACAACAAAGAAAAAAGGTTCCAGATGTTTTTATTTAATTTTCTAATACTTGCAAACAAGATGGGATTGCATTTTTAACAAAATCGAGTACACATATATTTGATACGTATGGTATATTCCCAAGTAAAAATATTAAGAAAACTAATAGATAATTGGAGAATACATTAAACTTTTTAGGTGGTACAAAAGCATTTTCGTGCACCTAAATGGGCTAATAGTCTGTTCGGACAAATTTTTTTGGAAGCCAAAAGTGCCTATATTTTAAAAAAATAAATTTATTTTAAAGAGTTGGATATTTGGCAAAGCGATTAGGAAAAAAAAATGTTTTGGGGGAAAGCTGAAAACATAGCTTCGCCCAAAAGTATTTTTAGAACATTGAACAAGCAAAAATTGGTGCTCTAATATTGTAAAAGTATTTTTTAAATTAATTAACCAAACATAATTTTTTTTATTATGCAAACATACTTTTTCTAAAAGTACTTTTGACAACAAGTACTTTTTTGACAATATCAAGATAATATAGATTACCAGTTCTAATATCGTGTAGTGTTCAAGGGATTTTAAAACAAACAAATAACGAACCTAGTGGAATCTCACGAGTGGGTTCTGGAATGAGTAATATGTACACAGACCTTACCTCTATCTTATGAAGGTGGAGAGTCAGTTTCTGATATACCCTCGGCTCAAGAACAGTGAAGGAAGAAATAATCAATTAATAGCAACAACAAGATAAAAGGAAGAGGGAGCAAATGGCAAAATGTGTAATAACCAAGATCAAAGAATACTAGAATACAAGACTAGTGTTCAAAGGATTTCATTTATTATAATAATATTAAGAAGTTTAAATGTTTGGCTAAGGGTGGCACTCTATAAAACTCTTTTCCTACTGATGATTTTCCAAAAGAAAAATATATGGAAATGCAATGTTTTTAAAAAAAAATTATTTTAGAAGACCTTTGAATGGCATACAACCAGTTTGTTCCTTTTAATTAAGAAAAGAAGTTCCACCAATATATGTCTAGACTTTAACGTTTGTTGTTTCCTTAGTCACCCACTACAGCTAACATTGTCCACAATGTGAACTTCTAATCGCACCAACAAAACAATATTTTCTTACTTTTTGAATGTACATCCAATTTGTATTGTATGCCCACGTTTCATAGAATAACTAAAATGGAACTTGAAGTGATTTTTGTACACTTTAGTTTGTTCCAAAACACAGTAGAAATTCTTTTTTTTTCCTCCAAAATTTATCAAACGATATCGAACCTTATTTGATGCAAGTGTTCCAAGCAATTATGAACTCCTCCATATATCTACTTGTGATAGTGTAGTTACATGAAAATAATTAGCAAGATAAAAATGACTATCTTGTCTTTTAATGAGGAATAGCACAACTTTGTAATGGGAATTCAAGTTTTGCCAATTTTATATATGATTAACGAAATTTTTTACATCTTGTTCTTTTTCTACCAATTTCTGTGATTATTGGGCCAGGAACTTTTTGACACATTGGGTGCGCCACACCAAGGCTATGGTGTGAAAATATTGCCAAATGGCCACTTTTCGGTCTTGTCTTTGAGAAATAGTCACAATATTCTGAAGTAGGGGTGTACATGGACCGGATTGGTTCGAATTTTATCAAAACCAAAACAAACCTATTATATCGGTTTGGATTAGTTCGATTTTGTTGGAATTTTCGGATTTTTCAGGTTTTTTTTGTTACATGAATATTATTTTAATCTTGCATTATTAAAGTTATAGATAAATTTTGATAAGTGAATATATGTTTTACTAAAAATAAAAAATAAAAAAAATATATATGATCTATTAAAGTGATCTTATGGGAGAATTTGTTTTAGTAACACATAATAGTTTATTTTTTTAGTCGTCTACCAATAATTTTTTGTTGATTTACGCTTTCAGGGTTAACCAAATTTAATAATTAAACATAAAAATCAATATGACGCCTAAATAATGATATGTTCTATGTAATTTTAGATTATCGAAATACCACTTCAAATTCGAAAAATATATAATAAATCTTGACATATGAATATGAAAGAACAAAAAAGAAATGATTGACGCATTTCAATAACACATAATAAGAAAGTGATACAATCTCTTATTTAAAGTAAATAAAAATGAATGCACTTTATAATTTTATTAAATATTATATCCCATGAGAGCATCTCAAATATTTCTAGATATTTTTAAATAAAACTCTATATAAAGTCTTAAAATTATATATAAAAAATTATATATTTATATGTCGGTTTGGTTCGGATTTTTTTATTCAATACCAAACCAAACCTAGTCAGATTTTTTAATCGGTTTGATTTGACTTTTCAATTTGGTATGATTTTCGGTTCGACTTTTCGATTTGGTACGGTTTTCGGTTCGGTTTGTAAACGCCTATTCTGAAGTTTCACTTGTGAAAATTTAAAACTCCAAGATAGTGGTTAAATTTTAAAGACGTGCTGAAATGTGAACGCTAAGACAACGAGTGAATGTACAATTAGCAAGCCACCCTGTTGATTACTTCTATCACCCTCTATGTTTTCTTCAAGAGATGTGGACATGGACTAAATGCAAAAGAAATTTTACAAAAACTCAGAGTAACTCAGAAGAAAAAGTACCAATCAAATTGCATCACATAACAGAAGTACAAAATATTCAAAAGTATAACCCACGTTAACTATTCCTGATTTACATTCCATAAATCTTAAATCTTTTCATATTTCACCATTAGCATCCAACTAGATTTGCACTGGTCGTTCTCATATTTCATACCAAGATACATGATTACTTGAGATACATTAGGCCTTTGTAATGTAAACAGTAAACATGTAAATCTAGTGAACCAATTCAAGGCTTCAGTTAGATATTGCTATTTGGAGATATCAAGATTGTATTTTCAAGAAAATAACACTTCTGCAGCTAATCTAGTACAAGCAATGGATGCTTCATTACTACTACCATATCCCGTATTAACTACTCCCTATCTACCAGTAAATTTGTCGGTGATGAAGGTTGACCATAGCAATGATACTAAGTAATCACCATGATCGACATGTCCAACAATGAGATTACACATGCTGCCATACCATGCTTTCAAAATAACATCAGCCAGCAAGTGGATTAGCATGTATGGTCACCCGGTTGAGCCTGATTTCGGCAAGGGGCTTATCACCTTGTCCTGTTGGAGTCTGCAAAATTTAGATAATAAGTGAAATAGGTGATAGCTAAGCAAATTCACTTTATCAAAAGGGCCCTGTATCGAGTAACATAAATACTGAAAAACGGAATATTATGCTATAGAGTCGGTATTTCTCTGTTTAATAAGTTAATGCTGAATAAGAGCGAAGAATCACTAATTAGCACAAATGCTGGAAAATGATAGATTTCTCTTCATTGCAGAAGTTTATCGGCAAGCATCAATCCAGGCATACCTTTTCCATAATATCAAGGACCTCAAATCCATGTATCACTTTCCCGAAGATGGTGTACAATCCATTAAGATGTGGTTGCTTGGCATATGTCATGAAAAACTGGCTCCCGTTGGTATTAGGGCCACTGTTGGCCATTGACAATATCCCTCTTGCATTGTGCTGGAACGGAATGCAAGGCACACATGATAAGAAAATTAAGTAGAGGCAGTCACTAATATTAAAAGTAAAAGATGATAAATCAAACATGCTAGACATAGAACATCATCGACATGGTGTAGTAAAAGTCTAATCAGATCCATGTTGACTAGTTTGGCATCAATTCCGAATCCTGAATCAAAGGCAAGCGACCCCCCAGAAGCAGTCGAGGTGCCAAAGTATGTTAAAAACAAGATAAGGTAAGAAGAAATCAGAAAGTTTTTATTTATTTTCTTAACAAAGTATCATTAAGTTGCCATGAAACGAGAACACTTTTCAATTGCAATGCTAAACAAACTTTTGTTAAAGGTCTGCCAGATGCTACAGCCCATATTACAGAATCTCAAGCTCTATAGGACCAACAAAACAATGTTCTAATCAAGAACAGGTCAAACTTGACAGCATAGATTTAGGAAGCCACTGAATAATAGGATGATTTAGGAAGCCTGTTATGAATAAAAATAGTCAATGGGCCATGATATGGGATCCGGGTTGTGGGCCCCAAGTACTGTAAACAATTAACCGAACTTGTTAAAATAGGGTAGAGTAGCAATAGTAGGGCTAGGCTGAATATTGTTAGAAACTTCCCTTCTCTGGTCTCTCTCTCGCATATTTCTCTCTGTGGCTCTGTCTCTCCCCCTACTTTCTTTCTGTTCCTATCTTAGTTATGTTAATGTCTATCTAGTGTCTATCTAGTTATTCTCTAATTCCATATATTGAGTTTCAATTAATCAAAGATCAATTCTCAGTTCCTATTTGCAATTGTGTTGTTTGATAACTCCATAACAAAGCCACTGAATAATAGGCAAACATCTATCAGACCGAATGTTGCAGACAAGTACCTTGAGAGACTCCCGTATCTCGTCATTGACTTTTTTTCCCCAAATACTTGTCCCGCCTTTTCCTGTACCTGTTGGGTCACCACCTTGGATCATGAAACCCTTTATATTTCTGTGAAATATTGTCCCATCATAATAACCACTTGCGCATAATGCCAAGAAGTTCTGCAATCAAAGGGAACTTTATATTCGTACCAATCAAACAAACACCATATATCAATTAGTTTCACCACTCAATCAAATATTTCTACTGCTTCCAGATTAAGAAGGAACTGCCAGTATAAACCAAACAAGATTAATAATTCTGCAAGCAATCATGGCTCTGAAGGAGTTTGCAAAATTCAGGGTACCAGATAGAATTCCAGGGAGAAAAAGTAGTCTACATGTTCCATAAAGCTTATGCTTTTTCCGTTTATGAGATAATGTTCACTAATTTATAGTGTCCCTCTATGTAGCATAAGCATATGGATTATGAAACGGAAAAGGATCAAGTATATCCCTCTACTATGAGAAATTGTTTAAAACTACCCTCCATTTGAGTATCCGTCTATACCTACCCTCACCGTTATACAATTGCTCAAATGTACACCTAATACTAATGGAGGGGACTCGTGACATTCAAAGTAAAAAAATCAATATCTACATGATATTTCACTTCATGGGGCAAGGTTGTAAATAGCGCTCGTCTCAGTGCTAATAGCATGAAGCTTGCGAGGCTGCGGCGCCACTTTCCTCTGTTGCGTGGCGAAATTAAAAAGGCAAGCGCCTCTGCTTGAGTAGTGAGAGGCGCTAAGTAGCGAGAGGCGCACAGTAGCAACGACTTTTTGAAAAGAAAAAAAAAAGCAACAGACATCAGCAATTAAAAGAAAATTTAGGGCTTGAGTTTGTTTTCTTCTCTCTCCTTCAAGCTCGTCGACAAGAGTGGGTTGCTCTAGTGGTGAGCACCCTCCACTTCCAACCAAGAGGTTGTGAGTTCGAGTCATCCCAAGAGCAAGGTGAGGAGTTCTTGGAGGGAGGAAGCCGAGGGTCTATCGGAAACAGCCTCTCTACCCCAGGATAGGGGTAATGTCTGCGTACACACTACCATCCCCAGACCCCACTAGTGGGATTATACTGGGTTATTGTTGTTGTTGTCCTTCAAGCTCGTCGACCCAGCCCCACAACAAAGAAGCAAACCAGATTTCTTCTTTCTTCTTCAAGTTTCTTCGATCGGGTATGCTTCTCTTCTTTCTTCTTCTCCGAGTTTCTTTCTTGTTTCTTCTTTCTTCTTTCTTTCTTCTTCTTTCTTTCTTCTTTTCTTTCTTCCCTTCTCTTCTCTTCTCTTCTTCTCTTCTTTTTTTTTTTTTGGCTCTGTTTTTTCCGAGTCCAGCACTGGTTTTTGGGCAGAGGCAGACTTCCTTCATACCTGAATTTTTCCTCTTTTATTCAGTTATAGAGTAGAATTAATTGCATATTGACTTAATATTTTTTTCCTATAAACAGTATTGACTCATCCGATGCTAATAAATGAAGGCAGAATACATCGACAGCCCCTTAAAGTTGTCCTCACTTTTCACTTAGGTACTTCAACTTAAGTTCATTCCATTTGAACACTCCAACCACAAGTCAAATGTGTCATTTAAACACAATTTGATGATGTGGCATAGTGTGTGTTGCCCACCGCTTTAGAGAGCGTGAAATGCTATTGTTATGGGTCCCAAAGAATAAATGTTAATAGAGAAAAAATAAAAAACAAAGTAACTTTCTTTCTCTCACCTCTCCATCTTCTCATTCCACTGCATCTTGTCAATTAACACCATGTGAGCTTTACCAAGCTTCACTGTAACACCCAAAACAACCATGTCCAGCAACCCCTTTAAGTCTAAAAACAAGTAGCCCCAACACCACCAAATAACTCGCGCACAGAAGCACAAAAACATCATGTAAGCTGCACTTATCGCTATTTCCTCACTCCTCAGCCCAAAATTAACAAAAATCTTGCGAGTTGTCCAAAAGTAGCATGAACAAGAAAGAAAAACTTTGTTACCTCCATCTTCTCTTGAACAATGTGGATCTTTTAAAAGTAACAAAATTAACATTAAGAAAGAAAAATCTGAATAACAACATTTCCGGCGAAACTTCATTTTTTCCGGTGCAGTTTCGTTTTTCTCAACATTAACGAAATTAAACTTTGTGACTTGAATCTGAAGAAAAATCAGATTTACATCTCAAAAAAGGGCGAACTTTATTTTTCCCTACGAATTTTCGTGAAAGAAGGAGAAAATCATATTTGGATCTTTCAAAAAAATTCGGCCAAAGCTCCAACGTGAAGAAAAAGAAGAAAACGAAGAAAGGACCAATTTTCTGGAGAAGAGTTGGAAAAAAATGGCTGGAAATTGATTTTGCCGGCAAGGAATGGTCATTGGGGAAGATGGCGGGTGGGTGGGGTTCTCATTTTTATATTTAATTATTTTTTAATTTTTTATATTTGTTTAAGTTAAATCCACGTGTCCTTGTCTTATTCGTAAGTCTGGCGTGTGAATTTCACGTACCTTTTGTGTTTAGCTGCCTACAAATTTTGTGTCTAAATGAAACATTCGAGCTGTGGTTGAAGTGTTCAAATGGAACGGACTTAAGATGGAGTGTCAAAGTGAAAAGTGTGGACAACTTAAAGGGGTTATCGATGTACTCTGCCGTAAAAGAAATGATATAGCTTGGAATATGTTATACAAGGCTCAACAAGATCCGCAATTAAATGTGCGTTTTGTGAAAAAACTTACCATGGTGGAATAACTCGTCACAAACAACATTTGATTGGTGGATTTAAAAATGTAGTACAATGTCCTCTTTGTCCAACTAATGTTAGGGAGCAAGTAAAAACAGTTGTTGAGAATAAACATGTGACAAGAACTCAAATGAGCTATGAAGCATCTGTGAATCTAATTGATGAAGATGATGATGAAATGGATGAAGATGATGAAATCGGACCCTCTACCCCCAACTCAAAAAATATCTTCAGATAGTTCTAGTGGATCATCCACGGCGCGTACGGTGACGAAAGATCCTCTCAATCTTTATTTCTCGGCAAAACAACAAGAAAAGGAAAAAGGTGATTCCAGTTCAAGTTTGGAAGCCAAGAAGATTTTGAGGGATCGCGTTGTAAGTGCATTTACAACATGGACGTACGATGCAAGGCTCCTTTTCAATTGTGTTAACTACAAAATTGTTGATAAATTCGTTGAGGTCGTAGGACAATATGGCCCAGGAATGAAACCTCCTAGCTATCACGAAGTTAGAGTAACTCATCTTAAAAAAGAGGTGAGGAAGATAGACAAGGTTGTTGAGGAACATAGAGTAGAATGAGACAAGTTTGGATGTTCTATTATGATGGATAAATTGACAGCACAAAATGGAAAAATGGTCATAAATGTGTTGGTGAATTCTCCAAGAGGTAGTGTTTTTCTTGAATTTTACGATGCTAGCAACTCTTCTACGAATTCCACCAAAATGTGCAACTTGTTTGCAAAGACTACTGAGAAAATTGGGAAGGAAAAATATTGTACAAGTTGTTACCGATAACGCTAGTGAGAATGTTAGTACGGGTAAGATGATGCAGGGTATATATCCACATATTTATTGGACTTCATGTGCTACCCATTGTATCAATTTGATGTTTGGTGACATATTCAAAGGAAAACTCATATGCTTCAGGTAACTTTAATACAGTTATCTTTAGAGCTTTAACTTTATTTATACTCATGTCATATTAACTATAAAATTGTTATTGTTACTTTTACAGTTTTCACTAAGGCCGTCAAGATATATTCTTACATCAGTCAAAGGCCATTGTTGTTGAATTTGATGAGGAAATTTACAAATGAAAAAAATTTGATGAGACCGGCCAAGACAAGATTTGCGACAACTTTCTTGACTTTGCATAGTTTTTACTTGCAAAAGGAAAATCTTGAGAAAGCTAGTTCTTTCAATCGAATGGAAAGAAAATAGATATGTAAAGGAAGTTGCGGGAAAAGAAAATGGCTACCATCATTTTGGAATAACGGTGTTCAGGCACTTAAAGTTGGTGGTCCTTTGATTAGGGAGCTTCGTATGGTGGATGGGGAGAGAAAACCACCAATGGGCTATCTTTATGAAGCTATGGATAGAGCCAAAGAAACTATTGAAGTGTCATTTGAGGGAGATTTGAGGAAATATGAGAAAGTTTTCGAGATCATTGATAGAATGTGGTCGATTCAACTTCATCGACCTTTGCAAGTAGCAGACCATATTTTGAACCCGGGATTGATTTACAAGAATAATAGAGATGGCATTTTAGATTCAAAGGTGTAGGTTGGATACCATAAACGTATTGAGAAGTTGGTCCTTAATGCAGCAATGGTATATCAAATAGGGGAGAGAGTTTGGCAAGTACACACAAGCAGATGGCCTATTTGGTTTATTGACAGCTATTAAAGCCAGAGACATAAGGTCACCAAGTAACTAACTTTAATATAGATGTCCTTATAGCTTTAATTTAATTTATTTGATTTATTTATTTTATACCCATTAACTTTTAAAATATTTTTCTATAGCTGACTGGTGGATGCAATTTGGTCATCAAACTCCAAACTTGCAAAAGCTTGCCGTCAAAGTACTAAACTTAACTTGAAGCGCATTTGGATGTGAGAGAAATTGGAGCGTATTTGAACATGTAAGAAGCAGATTTATTATATTAAATATATTCTATATTGTATTATTATTAGTATCTATTAATTACTCCTACAATTTATGCGCAGATTCACTCCAAGAAAAGGAACAGGCTTGAGTTATCGCGTCTCAATGATCTAGTGTATATTAAATACAATAGAACAATGAAGCGTCGTTATGACGCTTGCGATACCATTCTTCATATACTTCTTCGTCTTCATGATTTTGGGAGGCTCCAATTAACCATTCATTTGCCTCAATATTATTTGGATCAATGGTATCGCGAGCTTCGTAACGACGTTTCATTGTTCTATTGTATTTAATATACACTAGATCATTGAAACGCGATAGCTCAAGCCTCTTCCTCCTCTTGGAATAAATCTGCACATAAGTTGTAGAGAATAATTAATAGATACTACTTCCTCCGTTGCAAAAAGATTATCTTAGTTTGACTTGGCACAAACTTTAATAAAGAAGAGAGG